TAATTTTAAGGTAAGCATTCAGAACGTCATAATTAGTGGTAGTAATTTTCAATTATTGGAAAAAGTTAACAAACTTCTAACTTTTCCACTAATTATATTTCAAATTTTGCGAGAAATGTCATTTTGGCCTTTGATTATCACCCGTCAAAAAAAATGTTGGTTAGAAATCAAAAGTTTATTGTTTTATAAGCTAAATATTATGCGTTCTCTATGGATACAACAGAGACTACCGCAAGCTGTTGCTAGGATATTTTATTAATTTTAATTGTATTTTTTAAACATTGTGAATGATCGTAAACTAAAAAATATAAAGTGTAATTGAAACCACTAATTGGGAGGTTCTGAATGAAGCTTAAGAGTTTTTAATTAAATGCGTAAAATTTTATGATCAAGGAAACTTGGTGCAAACCTAAAGTATATACCATTGCGATCAAAAAAAAATTGTATAACAAAATATGATTTAATCTGCTGGTCTATAATAAAATAAAAAAAAACTTGAAAAATTGCCCATTTTTAAAAGGTAGGTAAATTTGTTATACTTTTATTTCGCGACGTATACCTACCAATTATTACTAAATTCATGGTAACGCCTAAAAAGTTAGGTGGCATAATTGTATTATTCGACGATATCTACTTCTCGATATCCTTATAGACCAGGAGTTCTATCTGGGACTACTAATTCTTGTACTACTTTTTTTGATCGCAATGGTACTAGGATGTATTTTAGGAAAATATTTTAACTTCTATAGGATGGCTGAAAAAAGTGTGAGTGGATTGGGATGATTTCAAAACTATATTAGGTATTTACTTTAGATGGTCTGTACTTACTTTGCTTCAAATATGGTGATCGTAAATCATATAGGGATATTCAAAATTCTACGCCAAACTTTCTAAAATACAAAATAATTTTTCTTCGTTTTTTTTTAAACGGAACACCCTGTATATGAACATCTTTATGAATATTTTTTTGACGGTTTCGCAGATATTCGCGGTTTTATATTTCATATGACGTTTTCCACATTAAATTTTTATCAAATCCACACAATGCTTTTTCTCTCGTATTTTACAGTTCGAAGACCCGTATGAAATAATACTGCATATCTGCGAAATCATTAAACAGTTTGCAAACCAAATACAAGTAATTCCATCTAATAAAAAATAATATACAGGGTGTACTATTTAAAAAACAAAGTTTGTTGAAAAAAAAATTGTTTTATATTTTAGAAAATTTAGATTTTTAATTTTTTTTTATTTTATTTTTTATTTATTTTTTTTTTAATATTTTTTTTAATAAAGGTTGAAAAAAATATATTTTTATTTATTTATTAATATCATTACAGTTGGGGGTTGGGATCTTTGGTCTCTGAAATTATCGACTTATATTTACTCATATCTTAGGATTACAAGTTACAACACAAGTTATAATATACAATACAAATATGCAATATTATATGTATATTAATATACAGTTCCATTTAAAAAAAATCATCCCGATCTACTCACACTTTTTTTAGCCACTCTATAGAAGTTAAAATATTTTTCTGAAATGCATCTTCATACATACTTTAGGTTTGCACTTAAACAAAATTCTCAATTTTTTTTTATTCTAGGAACTACAAATGCCTGACGCACTATTGACAGACCCTGTATAATGCAAAAGCTATATGATAAGAAATAACGGTCATATATTATCATTAATAATTTTTAAAATATTTATATTTGCTAAAGTAATTTTTTACAAAACATAAAATATAAATGGTTAGATTATTTTTTTTTATTAATAAAAACTATTTATTTGTACTGTTAACAAGTAAAAATTACCTAGGTAGATATTAAATTACCTACTATCAGTACACACAATTTAAAAATTAATAAATTTGATATAGAAATTTTACTACAGCTATTGGTGGATAACGTCTTCTACCTTCTACCTGTGCTTAATTATAAGCCATAAATATGCATTAGCACTAATTTCATAATCTCTGGCTGAGCGGAACAACTTCTTGTAGCATAAGGTACACCAAACCTTTTACAAATATATAGGTAAATATTTTAATAACAACGAAATATTACTTTTAACAATTTGTAAAATTATATTACAAGTTTAAATTATGATATTTTATATTGAGCCTGTTAGATGGCGTTCTTGGAGAGGATATGGTTATTAGTAATTGTGTTATAATAAAAAAGATATTCTTAAGATAATGTTGTATATCATTAATGCATTTTTGGTTTTACCTTATTAAGTAATTATATACCAAATACCATATGAATGCGATAAATTTTACATTGGTGAAACATCTAGACCCTTAAATGTTAGAATTAAAGAACATAAAGATTATTTAAGAAAGGGAGATTTTCACAAAAGATTTGTCAGCATTCATGGGACACAGGGCACAGAATAAATTTTAATATCGCCAAAATTATAATGGTAGAAGCGATAGCCTCTAAAGAAAAATAAAAGAGGCTTTTTTAATACAATCTAATAAAAATAAATGTATTGCTCATGCATCTGTAGATGTTAGTAATGTATGGCAATCGCTTCTTTGATTTTAAAGAACATAACATAAATAAAATAACATTCGTAAAATTTAAAAATCATACAGAAAGTTTGGGACTTTTTGGTTTTACCTTATTAAGTAATTATTGTTATCAGGTAGTAATTGTTAAGCTTCACCGATACATCGTCGCTCACTTTTACATATTTTCTTTTAATCAAAATATTTTAGGAATCAAAAATAAATTAATTAAAAATATATAAACAATTATTATTTACATCAACAAAACTCACCTCTTTAACAACATTTAAGGGACATTAAAGGACCATTATTACTGCTTTCCCGTTCGAAATATTCTAATAAAGTTGCAATGGGTTTTTTACGGCTATTAAGTTATCTTGTACACTTTGCACTAAAAGAGGTTCTAAAAAGAACAGTGTTCGATTGCAAGGTCTGCTAGTAAACATTTTCAAGCTTAAAGTATCACAACACTATTTATTTAAACCAAAAACTGTAACTGTGTAAATCATGAAAAATTCAAAGCTTTGACTTCATCGTTTCCAGTTTCTAGGAATATTTCTAAAAGAAATATGGGCAATATTAAGAAATCTATACCTAAAACCTATAGATAATGATTAGATAATGATAGAATCAAAGACCATAATAGATCCATAAATAATATCTATTATTTAGGATCCATTATTACATTCAAAAAATGACGTTTTTTTTCATCCTATGAATTAAAATGACAGACACAGCTTCCACTGTGTAGCAATAGGAAAAAAATGTGACTATTGTTTAATTTGTGCTTGATTCTTTTCAATAAATTAAACACTCTTGTTTAAATTTAGGCAAATGATTTTTTTTGATAAATAACGTTAAAAATTTTATATCAAAGCTCTTATCGACATTATCTTTGCATGCACAGAGTCTTCAGGGAGTTTTAGTGCGATACCTGCCTATTGTAGTAAAAATACTTTAAATGTAGGACTTACCTGTAAGGTTTTACCTGAATCGCCACAAAGAGAAATAAAAATACACAAAAGACGATCAGAAAGTTCAGAACTTTGCATTCTATGGCACTAAATAGGTATCTCTGAAAATTCTGTAACTACACTAAAAAATATCTAAAATTTTATTGGAATAAATTTTAAATACACAGATTAAAACCAAACTAATTCAAAAAAGACGATCAGCAAGTTCAGAACTTTGCATTCTATGGCACTAAATAGGTATCTCTGAAAATTCTGTAACTACACTAAAAAATATCTAGAATTTTATTGGAATAAATTTTAAATACACAGATTAAAACCAAACTAATTCAAAAATGGACGCGCAAATATACCGGGTGGGTCTCAAAAGTGGCTCACCACTATAACTTTTTTTTATTTTTTCAGATAAAGGAACGATATTTGGTATGTTAGTATATGACATATATTAGGATTGATTGACGTATTCAATTGTTTTTGGTCACTTCCTGTTTCACCGGAAATGACTACAACTTTTGATTTTTAAATGGCACCCTCGGTATTTTTTCACTTTATTCGATAGAAAATAAGATTCTGAATAGAATGACATATTATATGCCAACTTTTGAGATTCTCGCTTAATAAAAAATTGTATTTTAAAATTCAATTTAGAGTGCCATGGGTATGTTAAAAACACTAATTCTTAATCAAGGTGCCTTGGAAAACAGATTTGATCGTCTAATGTTTTTAGTGTCTTGTCCTGGCTAGTTAAAATATGCTCAAATCGTATTTTTAATCGTATCTCAATTTTTTCAAACGGAACGAAGGTGGCTCATTGGCATACATATTTGGAAAAAGCATTTTTTTACGAATAATTTGATACCACACTTGGTATTTCGAGTCAAATTTTCGTTACGAACCGCAAGTTATAATTTCAAATAAACCATATGCGAAAATGTCAAAAGTTGACATATGATATGTCATTCTATTCAGAGTCTTATTTTCTATCGGGTGCCATTTAAAAATCGAAAATTATAGTCATTTCCGGTGAAACAGGAAATGACCGAAAACAATTGAATATGTCCATCAATCCTAATTTATGTCATATACTAACATACCAAAACTCGTTTTTTTATCTGAGAAAAATACAAAAGTTATAGGGGTATAAATGATCGCTGTCATTTTATATGCAAAATTATATGGGGAATGTCATCGATCGTCATTTCTAAGCCAACTGAACGCCGTATTTTTTCGATCATACGCTATATGTTTTTAATCGAAAAAAAAACAAAAAAGTAAAGTTATATTTACAAATTATTATTTATTATTTTTTTATAATAAAAATAATTGAACGATAAGTAGTAATCAGTGTGAAAAATCAACTGTATCCCCTACCTGTATAGAATAGGTATAGTAAAATATATATTGCGGGTACATTATGTGTTTGTATAGGACCGCTTTGAAAGAGAAAGGCCGCCACTGAGAACACGCTGTGATAAGAAAATGTTTGGGGTTCGGAATTCTTATAAATTATTGGTCGTAAGACACCCAAACGTCCAGTCCAGTTGCGGATGTTTGGCGTTGAAACGCGCAGGTTTTGATTTTTAGTGGAAAATTTAGTTCTCGGAAGATTGTTTAGTGATCTTTAGTTACAAATAAGGAACACGATTTATTAGTAAAAGGGAAATATGCCGCCCAATGTAAGTACACTTTTCTAATATTTTCTATTAAAATGTGATACTTTTTTGCCGATTTTAATATATTTTTATAATATATTTTATTATTTTTTTAATATATTTTATTATTTTTAATTATTTAATAATCTTTTTGATTTAGAAAAAATACAAATATATATTATATTCTACATATTTCATTATTTTTTGTACTTAAATAATAACTAATAAATACCCTAATAATATAAACGAATTTTGTGAATATGTAATATAATTTAGAAAAAAAAATGTTTTATGAAATTTGGAATTGCTGATGATAGGTATTTTAATACTAATCCATTTGCATCTGTTGAAATTATGACTAAAGATAATTCAAACCGTTTTGTTACATATTTTATAGATATTAATTTTTCAATTTTTTTTTAAATTTAAATACATCTAAAAACACACCTAAATATATTTTCGTACTGTCCTCAGATTTGAAGCTTATTTTCGAATATATTTTTAATATCAATATTTTACTTATTACATCTTTATATTTTATATTATTTATTTTAATTCTTTTTTTGTTTTATCTACATTTTTTAAATATTTTAAATATTTTTATCTTTTATTTCCTTCTATCTCTCTGTTGTATTTATTTAGCTTTATTTTAAAAGAGAAGGTGATTTTTTAGTATTTATGTAGGTATTTCTATTTTTGATAAAATTTAATTAAATCTGTATAGTAATTAGTTTTAAACTTAGTTATTTACTTTTTAGTTGAATAGGTCTTCCATAAAGCATCACTATGCAAAAGATTGAAATATCCCTCATTTTCAAACATGTAGTATTTGGACTTGAAGTATACATTTACTTTTATTAATAATTATAAATGTCTTACGGAAAAATTAGCTCACAAGTCACATTTTTTCTACGATTAAATTGAAATTCTAATTGAAGTGTTTATTAAAAAATGTTTACAGTAATTCACAGAATAATATTACCACTAACATTGACACTATAAACAAATATTATTTATATTTTTCTTAATAACTTTTTTTTGAATTTATTTTTATTTTAATGTCTCAGTTTGAACAATTCGTTAAGGTAATTTTGAGGGATAAACTTCATTTCCGGTAGTCTTTTGAATTATTTTTATTTCTGCTATTGAATTATTTATATGAGAAATGTCATCGATCGTAATTTCCCAGCCAACTGGACGCCATTTTTTTAGATCATACGGTACTTGCATTAGTAACAATATTTGGATTAACAATATCAAGGTACAATAATTTTTTTCTCTTTAGTAAAATAATAAATTTATTATTTTTATGATTAATAATTAATAATGTCAATGTGTTTTTTGCATAAAAAATAAGTTATTTTTTTTGCACTAGTGTAAAAAATTGACTTTTAATTCAGTAGTTAGTGTAAAAAATAGCTATTTTTGCATGATCGTAGAAAATATTTTTTAGTCATATTTTCAGAACTATTGTTTTTTCTGGTTATTTTTTCTTTTAAATTTAATCTACTAGCTATATTTTTATATCATCAAGAAATTATGTTTTTTAACTAAAAACCAAAAAAGTTTCCAATTTTTTTTTAAATTCCAAATTTTCCTCATAAAAAACTCATAGACGTGTTTCTGGGATCGAAATATACTACCCCTAAAAATATTTGCACTTATTTAATAGTATACCCTGTATATGTATTTCCCCTGGATTACTGACTTATGTATTTCCCTCTGAAAATATAATAATATCCCTGTGTATATAAAAGTAGGCCCAGGGATTCACAAAAATAATATTTAGTTACTATTATTACATTGTTAGCTCACATCCTAAACAGTTCATTCGCTATAGTATGGATATGTCCTAATTAGATTTTTTTCTCTTAGAGAGGTTATCGGTAAGGTTCAACTTCTTATCGGTTTTCGATTTCGTAATACGGATTTTTAAATTTAGTATCTTATTATAAACATTTCTTGTTTCTGGGGTTCTAAGATGTTTTATTAATTTTCTTTGTATATGCTACGTTAATTTGTTATTACAATTATTACATTGAATATTTATAGAGTAATCAACATAATGGATTATAAAATATATCTTAATTATTTTTTTATTAATACCTTACTAATATTATTGAACGGTATTATGATTAAGGAAAAAAAAACGGCGTCAAGTTACATTGACAAAAATCGGTCGCATTTCTAAGGTAACTTGTCGTTTTATTTTATCATTCATATTTGCCCGGTAAATGAATGTTATAAATTTTATTTACATAAAAAAATGTTTTTTAGCAAAATAATGTAGCGGCTTCGGTCACATCCTTGAAAATTGCCATCATTGGACAAAGCCCCTTTGCTGTAGATGTTATGGAAAAACTAATACAACATGGACATCTCATAGTTGGCGTTTTTACCATACCTGATCAAGGAAAAAGAGAAGATCCATTAGGTAAATATACTATTTTTTAAATTTTTATCCGTGTCAAGCATTAATTATTAACTTATACAGGGTCCGGCAAAAGTGCGTCGGGCATCTGTAGCTCCTAGAATAAAAAACTTGGAAATTTTGTTTAAGTGCAAACCTAAAGTATATACAAGGAAAGTATTTTTCAGGAAAATATAGTAAGTTCTATAAGGTGCCTCAAAAAAGTGTAAGTGAATCAAGATAATTTTTTTAAATGGAACACCCTGTATATTATTGCACTTTTGGCTTCCTTACAGATCACTTTCCATAATCCTAAGATATGAGTAATATATTTCGATAATTTCAGAGATATTAATAAATAAATAAAAAAATATTTTTTTTCCAACATTCCTTAAAAAAATATTTCAAATACAAGAACTGTCCTGAAATCAAAACTACATTAAGCGTTTACTTTAGATTGTCTATACTTACTTTGCTATAAATATCATAATTTTAAAACGTAGAGGGTGTTAAAATTCTACGCCAAACTTTCTTAGATATAAAAAAAATTTTCTTGTATTTTTTTAAATGAAACACCCTCTATATTCTTTTTCTATTAAATGGAGAATTAAAAAATATTTTTTTTTATATAAAGTATTTCAAAATTTTTAGTAGTTCCGCAGATACACGCAGTATTCTTTAATATGGCTCTTTATTTAAATTTACTGTGGAAAATGCCATATAGTTGGGGAGCACAACATATATAAAAAGCTTCCCGTGGGAAACTTCATGAAGGGAAGGTGCCAGTGGAGTTGTTTTATCAGAAAAATGATGTATTCCATTAATTTTTATGGTGACACCGTCACAGATGTTGCGTTTGTTTGGAGTGCGTTAAACAAAATGGCCGCCATAGCAATATAGACAATGTGCGCCATCGTCGCCGCTATTTAACCGATTTCAAATTTTTTAGCTTGTTACATAGGTAATGTAAAGAGGAAAACAACTAATTCTTGAAATTATTGCGAAAAAATAATATTTTGGTTGCTGGTTGGATTTAAAGTGAAAACAATTGAAAAATATTGTGTTATATTATTTTTACCAAAATAAAATATGGTCTACGTTCATGTATTTAAAAAAAAATTAAGTGATACATTTGCACATATATTAATAAAATTACAAATCGGCATCATCACTACCAACTTCATCACCACCTTCGTCGGCAAAATCAGGCGGATGCAAATTATCACAAGTTGATTGGTCCGCATTACAACTACACGTTTCTGTGCAAGGCATATTGTTTGCTAAACATTTACATGGTGGTAAACATCGATTTTTAAGACACGAACATCTAATCAGTTGAAGAAGAGACTCTTCATATTTCTTCTTTTTCTGTTCTGTTCACACATAACAGGGGTAAGCACTCCCTCTTCCAAATACTAGCCGTGTCCAACTGGATTAGGGATGACTGCATTTGGTTTATCACCTTTTGACCACACAAAGGCTTGAAGGTTAGCTCTCTTAACTACGGGTACATGGGAACCTCTAGTGGGGGGTGACTTATCTCCAAGGGCTTGTTTGGCAGTAAACATTGACCATCGTAATTCCGCAAGTGATTTTGTTAGAGTGCTTGCTTTATAAACTCGACATATAAATATTTCTAGCTGATGCAAAACATCATCGGCACTAAATGACTGATACCAAGTTTCTGCAAGGCTCCAAGTTCTTCTTCACTCGCTGAAACAAATGCCTTCCAGTATGACAACTTTCCTTTTCCAAACAAACTTCCGATGGTGTCACAACCAGATATTACATGGAACACGGGCAGTGCTGAAGATTTTAGTGGTCCGAGTGAAATATATATGTTTTTAACTGATATTGCCTCGCCTGACGATGGTATAAAACAGGTTTTGTACCTTTGTTTTCGGGAAACCTTGCGTAGCGCCTCACTAGCAAAACTAAAATATCTGTATCATTAGCAAATACCAGTAGTGTATCTCCACCTCTAACTTTCGCATTAATAGCATGAAGTATAATTTTTGTGTCGGCTTCTTCTTGAGTACTCTTTAAACAATCCATAGAGTAGTGCGTCGCAGAAACTTCAGTGCCATGAAACAACATATTTTTTTCCTGACATTTTGGCATGACTTAGAATTGTATGTGCAACATAGGTGGTTAATTCATTCTTGGTACGAGTATGTGACGACAACTTTTTCAAATTTATATTTGATATGTCAGTTGTGTCACATATTTTGTACTGTGTTGTGACACCGTCATGAAGCCTCTTATCCCTAGTCAGTTTTTTTATTGATTCGTCCAAGTACGTGTCGAAAATAACATGAAGTTCATCATATTGTCAGTATTTCCTTGGATCTTTTGGGCGAACAAATCTGCAAGATCTTTACAAGTTTTCACTGCGCTAGTTTTATCAAGAGGCTGCAATTCTCCCATTGTATCTACAATTGCAACGCAGTTATTTGATTGGTGAACTTGAGCAGATAACAAAGAATCTTTGGCAGTGGATTCCACTACAGACTTCAAGATTTGAATTAATTTACTTTTAGCTGGGCACTGATGCATTGTTCCGTCTCTATAATATAATAAAAGAAATAAAATTGAAAAGTCTTACAAATTCAAAATATATTCCAAAAACTGACATTGATAGCATAAAATAATCTGTTTTTAGTTTAAGATGGAATATCATCGAATCTATCATTTTTTCGCAATGCATGTTATGAATATTTTTTCAGCTAGTACTAATACCTTTCGATCAAAATAAGATAAATTGGAATCGGTTTAGCAAGGACCGGGATATGCCACTTGGTTCATAATGAAGTGACGACCATCTTGGATGACGTCATCATAGCCACACGCAACATCTGTGAAAGTGTCACCATCGACATTATTGGACTACATGTTTTTATCTATCGATTAGTACCACTAGTACCTTCCCTTCATTAACTTTCCCACGGGACACACAACGCTTCCGTACTAATATGAAATAATAAACTGCAAATATCTGCAAAAATTTTGAAATACTCTAAATACAAAAAATGCTCACTTTTTAATTCTCGATCTATTGAAAAAAATATATACAGGGTGTTCAATTAAAAAAAAAACAAGAAACATTATTTTGTATTTTAGAAAGTTTGGCGTAGGATTTTGAACACCCTGTGTGATTTAAGATTATCATATTTATAGCAAAGTTAAGTACAGACCGTTTAAAGTAAATACCTAATATAGTTTTGACTTCGGGACAGTTCTTGTATTTTTAATAATATTTTTAAGAAAGGCTGAAAATATATATTTTTTATTTGTTAATATCTTTAAAACTAAAAATAGAATTTATCTTAGGATTATGTAAAGTGATCTCACCAAAAATGCAATAATATACAGGATGATCAATTAAAAAAGACATCCCGATCTACTTACATTTTTTTGAACTACCCTATAGAAAGGAGCTACATGAGATAATATTCTAAAGCTATAATTCTGCCCTGCAAGTTTTTTGAATGAAAATGGAAGACTGTCACTATCATGATTATGTTATCTGTGCTGTCATATTATATTCTCTTGCTGGCAGTGTTACCACCTACAACCACATTAATATTTAATGTTTAAAGAGAAAAAAACACAAAAAATATTAATATAAAACAGCAAGATATTTGCATCCTAACTTGGCATTATTAAGATTAAGTATGATATTTCAATAAAATTAGGTAAGGATTTTAAATGGATAAGACAGTAGTAATATTATACCTACCTGTGTAAAAAATCTATAAAAAATGCGGGATTTGCAACAGTAAAAAAAAACAAATATAAGTGGATAAGACCGTACAAGACAGATTTTATTCAGTTTTTTTAAAATAAATAAGGCGGTTTTTGCAACTTGACGCCTCATTTGTTGAAAAATATTGGTAATTTCCATTGCGCGAATTAAATATTATCAGGAAATTTATTGTAACATTATTATTATCCTTCATCTTCGTATAAAGATAAAATTCGTGTCACTGTTATACCGTTTGTATGGAAAAATTGCCTATAAGGCGACAAGTTCTATTTTTAAACTGTGCGAATATGTATTTTTAAACAAATATTAACTTTTAGAGACCATCCAGATCACAGATTATCTTAATATGTGATCCGCATATACCATTTTTAAATAATGAATATTTCCATTTGATACAAATATTTGCATGGAGATCGTTCATTCATACCTACATTTATAGAAAGAAAGTAATATAATATAGTAATATTTACTCTTTATTTCAACATTTAGCAATTCATATTGACTCACATTTTGAATTTTGAATGAAAATGATATTACTCAACGGCATAATTTTTGTGCTTCTTTAGAGCTCAAACGCACAGACGACTAGGTCGCAGCGACCAGCCATCTATAACAGATCGGGGAAGTTAGCAACTCATTGAAAGCAGGAATTATAAAATACGATCCTGCTTGGGCTGCTACAATCCTGCTTTATCCTGCTTCAAATCCCAACTCAGCCACACCTACCAATTTTGAGCTAGAGTTACTTTTATTTTGGTTGCTAACTTCCCAGTTAGCAACACATGAGAAGTAGGATCGCCGAAACTGGTTCCTGCTTGCGCTGCTATACCCCTGTTGCATCCTGCTCTAAATTTCTTATACCAGTTCTGTTAACATTTTGCCGATGTTTATTTATTCTTTCGCCTTTTAATTAAATCTATTTCCGAGTAGCAGAGCTGGTACAAATGTAAAAACTTGACATCGCTGTTTCCGATACGCTTCAGTCCGTCCGTCAAAAAATGTGTGGAAGGAAAGGATATGGAACGGAAGGGAAATGGAACGGATAGTGTGCATTGTCCTATTCATTTACATGATATAATATTTTATGTAAACGGAAGGGAGATGATATGGAAGGTATAGTGAGAATCAACCTTTATATAGCGGCAATACAATAAAAATAATGAACGGATATGGAATGGAAACGGAAGGTATAGTGAGAATCAACCTTTAACAAGACCATTCTGTATCAAAATTATTGAAACAAGATTTTTTTCTAGATTATAGCTTGATTTCTTTTTTCAGCGAAAGCTGCATCTGAGCACGATATTCCTTGTTTTAAAATCAAAGCTTGGAGAAGCAAGGGAGTGGCCTTACCAGCTATTTTAGAAAAATACCGAAGTGTCAATGCGGATTTGAACGTGTTACCTTACTGTTCACAATTTATACCTATGGATGTCATAAACTATCCTAAGTATGTATCTTTTATTAATGTCTATACATCTGTGGAGAATTCATTTCTCCAACAGAGTTTTTTGGGTATTTCCCCATTTTAATGTAAGAAAATCTACAAAATAAAATAGTTATTTTTTGTTATACCGTGCAAGTGGCCATACAATTTCTTACAGTGCAAGTGGCCAAATACCCAGAAGATTTTTTTGTATATACAGGGTGGTCCGAACTGTATTCCGGAAACTTAGTAGTAAACGAGTAAACGAGTAAAGGTTCTCAAGATATTTGGAATCGAAATTATCAATACCTGTCATCATTGACATAAATAGATATTAGACTGAAATCATAAATTTGAAATGTTTTTGTGTCAAAAGTTCAACAGAAACTGTTTTATCATCATTTTTTCGAAGAACAATTTATGATTAATTTAAAAAAAATAAAAAAATTCCAAATTTATCGTTTCAGTCCAGTAACTATTTACTCCACACATTCATTTTTTGTCAATAATGACACGTATTGACTATTTCCAATCTAAATATCTTGAGAACGATTGTTCGTAGCGATTATTACCAAGAGACATTTTTTACGTAAAAAATGACGGAAATGTATATTTTTTTACTCGGTAGTTTTATACAGGTATGGACGAAAAGTTATTACTTTTCAAAACAATTAAACACATGTAGGTGGCGCCTTCTACAAATAGGAGTCATATTGACTTCAAAATCAAATGTTTCATGTCAAAGAACTCCCAGACACCAATTTTCATATAAATATTAACGCTACTTCAGAAATTATTTGGAAAAAATCGAAATAAAAATGAAACTCCTACACCCTGTATCTCCGAAACTATGCATTTTAGGACACATATTTATACGAACTTTTTTATTTATTTTTATCTGCAGAATATGGTGCCGAAGTTTCCGAAATACAGTTCGACCCACCCTGTATATATTAGATTGTCTTTTTTCTTGTATATAGGAACAATATAACCTTATTGTGTCTTTCACAGATTAAAAAGCATATGTTACCATCCTTCAATACTACCCAGGCATAGAGGAGCCAGTTCAATTAATTGGTAAGTAATTCTTTCTTTTTTATAATTTTATGTGATTTTTTTAATGATTACTCTTTTTAATGATTATATTATGCGCAGGACTCTTATTTGTGGAGATAAAAAAGCGGGACTGACCATATTCTGGGCCGACGATGGACTTGATACTGGCCCAATCTTGTTACAGGAAGAATGTGAAGTTCTGGAAGATGACACAGTCGATACCATATACAAAAGGTACTATACGATCGAAAAATAACGGCGTTAGAGGTGGCTTGGAAATGAAGATCGCGGTTTATATGGAATATTGTATGGTAAAAGCATCATAATTGCCAAGCCAACCTTGAAAAGTACTGTTTATTAAAATGTTGTATTCTATGTTATAGGGCTTGTTTCTCTCTACAATTTATTCCTGTCTCACAATGTACCGTTTGTGTCCGAGAAGGGTTCATAGTTTCATAGTTGTCGATTTTCGAAAGAAATCAGTACATGTATATTATTTCGTATATTTTTCATTATATTGATTTTATGGAAAGCACGACTGTTCATTAAAATGTTGAATCCTATGTTATAGGGCTTGTTTCTCTCTACAATTTCCTGTCTCACAATGTACCGTTCGTGTCGGGGAAGGGATCATAGTTTCATAGTTGTCGATTTTCGAAAGAAATCAGTACATGTATATTATTTCGTTTATTTTTCATTTTATTGATTTTATGGAAAGCACTGTTCATTAAAATGTTGATTCCTATGTTATAGGGCTTTTTCTCTCTACAATTTCCTGTCTCACAATGTACCGTTTGTGTCCGGGAAGGGTTCATAGTTTCATAGTTGTCGATTTTCGAAAGAAATCAGTACATGTATATTATTTCGTATATTTCTCATTTTTTGATTTTATGGAAAGCACTGTTCATTAAAATGTTGTATCCTATATTATAGGGCTTATTTCTCTCTACAATTTTCTGTCTCACAATGTACTGTTCGTGTCCGGGAAGGGTTCATAGTTTCATAGTTGTCGATTTTCGAAAGAAATCAGTACATGTATATTATTTCGTATATTTTTCATCATATTGATTTTATGGAAAGCACTGTTCATTAAAATGTTGTATCCTATGTTATAGGGCTTTTTCTCTCTACAATTTCCTGTCTCACAATGTACCGTTTGTGTCCGGGAAGGGTTCATAGTTTCATAGTTTACGATCATAAGAAACTTGCAATTACATGAATTACATAAAGATCGTCAGATACTATAGGCTTGGTGTATTCTCCGCCGGTGCTGCCACCATCCGAGAATATCGTAAACAATCGATATATACAAATACACAGGTTTAAATAGCAAGTATACGAAAAATTTATTATTTAATTATTCTAAAAGTGTTAGGAAGTAGATATAATTTGTAAAAATTCTAAAAATAAAAAAGTAAATGTTTTGTGTGGTTTTGATATCTGCAAAAGGTCTAACTTGTATTATAATTTATTATTCCAGTTAAAAACGCTTTTTAGATGAGTTCAACTACGGTAGCGAGCATAGTTTAGTTTTATTACCGGTTTTGCTAGTGGGGCTATTTTGGCTATAACTAAATTTTTTAAAGGTACATAATTATAATTTTAGCACATGTTCATAAAACATTTAATCTAGTTGATTAAAGAAAGTATACTATTAATATTGCAAATTATATTTTATCTTCTCATAGTATTATTTAATTTTTTGATTATGTAACGAGACCTTTGTTTACTCACTTGTTTCGTCGAACTGCTTGAATCTTGAATTTATTTTTGCTTTTGATCAAATCGGTATGAGAAACTATGAACTTAAAAATGTTGTTTCAGAAGAGTTGAATATCCGGGAAAGTTGTGTTATTGAATGTTATTGCCACCAACAACGCCCTAATTACGCTCTCCTTTACGCGTTAGCATTTTTTCGGCAATGTTATTAACATTTGAAATTGTCACAACACAACAAGACGCGTGGTTCGAATTCTTTTTCGCTTATTTTTTACTACCCGAAACAGCGTTACATCACACAACCCTCGTACCTGAGTATTTTATAGTCTCAATAACTGCATTAGCAAAAATACTTAAATATTATGACAAAACCACGATTTGAATATTGTTTTAACGCGATCAACATGACGGCGGCGCGGCGTGAAGTATATAATGATAATTTCTGATTTCTGCCGTGGAGTGCGCTGCGGTCGGAATTTGTTGAAATCAACTGAAATGCACCAGACCTATAGCATGATATGCAAATTTCTCAATACCCATTAGACAGAGAGTCGGTTATATAAACCGCTCTATATTAAAAAAAATAAGGTAATAGTTTTTAAAAATTTTTAGGTTTTTATATCCTGTCGGAGTGTCAGCTGTTGCACGAGCTGTAGATATGGTAGCCGATGGCACTGCTCCTAAAATAATACAAAGTGAAAAAGGAGCAACGTACGACCCTATGTTAAATAAAGCGGAATTGCAAAAGGTAATGTGTTTATATTTTTTGAAACCAAAAGTTTTATTGTAAATTAATATTTATCTGTAGATTGACTTTACAAAGACTGGCTTGGAACTTCATAACTTTATCAGAGGTATGGACTCAGTACCAGGAGCTAGCTGTCAAATAAAACTTCCTGACACAGAAAGTTTTCAAGAAGCTTTACTCTTTGGTTCAAGTATATGGAAAGGTTCGGTTCCAATAGGCAAAGAGGTAAAGCTTTTATCGAACTTTTAACTTTAATACCATGCGGTAAAAAAAAACGGCGTCGAAGACGTCTTGGAAAATGAAAATCGCTATCATTTTGTATGGAAAAATATGTGAAGAATATCATCGATCATCGATCGCCATTTCCAAGCCAAGTGGACGCCGTTTTTTATTTCGATCATACGGATCTCTTAAAATGTTTGCTATTAAAAAGCTTAAAAAGTTTGTCAACACCTTGTACATTTATTTTCAGTATTAATTCTTGTGCTGACTTTCAAGCCAGAGAAATAAACTTTACTAAAAAAAATATTGCCTTCTTAAATGTATCGAGGGGTATCAAAAATTGCTGGTCTATTTTAAATATTTATTTTACATAAAAACTTTGTTATTTCAAATACAACACTATGTATTTTTTTTTAAGTCGAAGCAGATTTAAATGCTGTTTCAATCTATATTAGGGTTTGCTATACCTATCTGGCTCAGATTTTGAATAAAAAACGATTTTTCAATACAATCAAGATGGCTAGTGTCGCCACGGCAATTTTCTATTGACACTTAGTAGCTGTTTTCAAAATCGACATTAGTTCATGAGCTTTATTTTAATTTATAACAGGTTATTTTGTTTAATTTACCTACCACCGCAAGTATTTATTATTTTATCAAGAAATATGAAGCAGTATCTGTGCTAGCGGAAGGAATAGATATGTTACTAATGATTTTATTTTGTGAGGACAATTGCTTGTTGGCCTGAAGGGTTTATACTCATACTCAAAGATATCTAAATAGGAATTTTCTTGACAAGCATTCCTTTGAAAAACTACTTTTCCTATTTCGCAGAGGTGACAGTGTGGCATATAAAAACTTATTAGGCAGAAACCTATCGTTGGAAGTGAAGAAAATGAATTTGCCTTAATTGGTCGTTTTATAGAAAATCCAATATATCTACAAGTCGTAATATAAATCAAAGAACTACTTCTTTATTTTTCTTGATAAAATAATAAATACTTACTTATTAAACTATTGTAGGTAAATTGAATAAAAGTAAACTGTTATAAATTTAAATAAAGTCCATAAACTAATGTCGAATTTGAAAATAGCTACTAACTGTCACTAGCAAATTGCCATAGCGACACCAGCCATCTTGATAGCCATTTTATTGAAAAATCGCTTTTTATTCAAAATCTAAGCCAGATAGGTATAGGAAACCCTAATATAGTTTAAAAGAGCATTTAAATCTGCATCGACTTATTTAAAAAAATATATAGTGTTGTATTTGAAATAACGATGTTTTTATATAAAATAAATATTTAAAATAGACCAGCAATTTTTGATACCCCTGTATACATTTAAGAAAGCAAACAAATTTTTTAGTAAAGTTCTGGCTTCAAAGTCAGTACAAAAATTAACTCTGAAAAGTATTGTACAGGGTGTTAACAAACTTTTTTATTATAGCATTCATATTTAAATATCATTAAATATCTCAAAAACTAAAACATTTAAACATATTAAACCCTTATAATAAATGCCTTATTTTGTGCCCAAGAATCCAAAAATGAAATAAAATACCGGGTGTTCGATGAGAAAAAATATAACTTTGGTATGGATCTTAGTTCTGACACACCCTGTACATTTGAAAATAATTTTAAATTATGCACATTGCCTCTCTACATATACCCATAAAAATTTTGTTTCTACATCTTACCGTTTTCGTATAATCAAGCGAGGCGAATGAGCTGCGCCACCCTGTATTTAACAAGCTGTACTTTTATCAGAAATATAATTTAATGAGAATAATTAATAAGAAAATAATAGAAAAAATTATAATTCGTCTTCTAAAAATACATAATTAATTTTTTTCTAGATTGAAATTCAGAATACTTCACCCGCTATTCTACATGATGGAGGGCTATTACTTAGAGGTTCAGATGGAGAATATATTAATATTAAAAAAATAAAAATTGGAGGTAAAAAAAGTCGAACGAAAATACACTTTTAATATTAATGCATCTAATTACAGGCAGAATGAAGAATGCTTCAACTATTGACCAAGTCACCCAACAAGTCAAATTAGACTACACTCATGAAGAGCACGGTCATATAGAAGAAGTAAGGGACATTTGGGAGGCTATATTAAGTATAGATATAGAAGACGATACGGACTTCTTTGCATCAGGTGCAGGTTCTATGGATGTTGTAAGGTATATACAAAAAATATGCAGGTTGTTAATTTGTTTATTACTTGCGGCAAGAGCTTTATGGTTGAAATATGGCAACCTCGGCCCGCTCATCGATATACGACGCGGCGACGACGGGACGATTCGACAGAAAACCGAGCAGAAAACCCTATAAGTCAATGACTAAAGAATATAAGGACATGTAACGCCCCTATACGGGCTACAGCAGAATTTGTGACCTTAGAGACCTTTCTTTTGGTGGCAAACAATGAGTCATCATTTGGTCACCAGCGACAATTTTAGCGATTTTTAATAGTTTTTGTGTAGTAAACTTTGTATAAACTTTATTACAATGGTGATTAGTTGATCAGCTTTCAAGTGTAAAAGCAGCAGCGATCAGAAAGAGCCAGGAGTTACGTTTCATAGGTAAATAAACAGTCCACTCCAACTTTTTAGCGTTTTCTTATTGAATTCGATAATTATTCTTCAATTTCAATTAACATCTATATGTACTTGATATGTGCTATACGTCGATACTAGTTTTGTTCCTTTTGTTAACATTTTGATACGTTTTTTTCGTAATTAATTAGGATGATACACCATAGGCGTAGTCAAAACAATTATCAAAAAATATAAATATTGCTTTAAACAGCTAGGTTAAGAAAAATATGTGCCACGGCACTGTTTGGTGACATCGGCACAATTTGCTCTCGGGTGTTATTTGTCCTTGGATTCTTTAATCATTGCTATAAGTGCATGCGTTCTCAATAGGCAGTGGTGCTATTCTGTTCTCCTATAAGTAACTGTCCAGTTAAAAATGTGTATAAAGATAATTTTATTATTCCAATAATTATTATCGGAAATAATTACCCAAGTGCATCAAAATTACCGATAATTTTTCATGAAAGCATGTTGTTTAAAAACTGCATGAGTTTATATTCATATTTTGCCATAACAGCCCGACTCCGAAGGAGGATGGCTCTTCCAAAATAAGAATATAAACGAATGCTGTTTTTTATTGACAACTTGCTTAAATGAGAAAATTATCAGGTTAATTTTGATGCACGAGTGTAATTCGGTAGAATATTTCCCGAATAAAAAACATGAAAATACATAGCTTTTTTAAAAACATTTATTTGAACATATTAAAAAAAATCTATTTAAAAATGAAGCAATAAAATGAAACAGAACTTATAATATTAGAAATTAAAAATTACATGAAGAATTGCAGTGAAAAACACAGTTATAAAAATTATTATGTTTAGATTCCGTTGCGGTAATTAAAGATGCTGAATTTGAATTGAAATTAAAAGAACCTATAGAAGGTACAAAATTATTAGTATTATCATTAGAATTTGTAGCAGTTTCATTGTCTCTCATTTTTTCTGCCAAATTTGCATAATGTTCATCATCGAGTTGAAGGTAAGACTTCGGGTTTGCGTGCCCAGTTATTTTGACCATTGTGTTCTCCTCAACCCCCTTCTTTGCTAGTGTCGATACAGCTGCTGCACGTAGCGAATGATTAGTAATTTTTACTTTCCCCGTAGCCAAACCTGATTTTTTCGCTTCGATAGATACCCATTGAGCAATCGTATTTTTCCCAACAGGAAGGTTCTTGAACCATTTACCCATTTTCCAGGAAGGATTTACAGTTAAAAACAATCTTGGAATATTAATTAATTTTCTTTTTTCCATAACTTTTTTGAATAGCCTTATTGGAAATATATCCGGTTGACCTCTATTTATGACAAGCCATTTTGACGGAGCACAAGGTTTATCTCCGAGTAGTTTTATCGAATATCGGGTTGTATTCAATGCGACCGATGGGTTGTCCTATATTATCAATATCATCTTTAAAATAAGAAACAAAACATTTTCCTCCCTCTCCTCCTCGCCATGCCAATTCGTAGGATAATACAAAAAATAATTTGTTTTGCAAACCATCGGGTCATTCTTCATTACAATTTCGTACCATCAATTTGAATTTTTCGTGTTTGAGTGCCTTAGAGCTTTCTTTTCTTTTTAGAGGGTTCATCTGCAATTTCTTCCTTTTGGCACTTTTTGCCTCCCGAGATATTTTAAATTCGGTGTCAGTAAAACGATTAAATTTAATATTATATTCTTTTTGGTATTTTTCCATTAATAGCTTGGCTGTTACATTCCAATAGTTTTTTCCCTAAAATCCTTATAGCCTTGGCCGTTTTTCCTTTTCATATTAAATGCCCAATCGGTCAAAATATTTGCCAGTGCCGAGATTGAGATGTTCGCATTCAAAATGTAGTTTCTATCTTTTATAAAGTCCATAAACTGTTTCCAAACATTGGTGATTAATTATAGTGTTTTTCGGCTTACTTTCGGCAACTTTTTCTTCAACTGCACTTAAAGAATCGTTTCCAAATCGAGACATTTTTAGAATACCTATTAAAAATAATTTACGTCTAAGTGACGACAGTTCTGCGGGAATTTTTTGCCGGGTAATTTTCGATTTTAGCGGGCAATTTTCGCCGAAAATTACCCGCTTCATATGGGATTTTTTGTACATGAGTGAAATATTCTTATTTTATAGATTGGTGGAAGAAGTTAAAGATGTCTTCAACGTCGACTTTGAAAATGACGATGTTTTCATGGCACCTATATTCTCCGAATTTGTTTTAAACGTAGTTTTGAAAAGTAGAGGAGCTATAGGCAACGCTGAAATTAAATACAGGTAAATACAAAAACACTAATAATAATGAGTTTAAATATCTTTGCTTGATCGTAAAATTATATTTTAGGAAAATTTACACACGAAATTATTGCACAAGGTGTTTTAAAGTTAGGGTAAAAAAAGAACCCCTCGATTAACCCTGTATAATATGCCAAATATTAAAGATTATAAAAAACTGAGTTTACGAATTAATATAGGGCTAAAAATAACAAAAATATAACACTCTAAATTTGACCAAAAATTTCTCCGTTTCGTTTTTTTGCATCTGAGTGTATTAATGAGTTATTTTTTATTTAGAGCCATAGAATTGGAAATTAATAAACGCAAGATAAAGTTTCCTTGTCAGCTGTTTATCAATGGGGAATTCGTAGACGCCGAGGGAGGTCAATATCTATCTACCGTAAATCCCGCTACGGAAGAAGTTATTTGTGACGTACAATGCGCTTCAGTCAATGACGTGGATAAGGCTGTGATAGCTGCCAAAAAAGCATTTGAAGAGGGACAGTGGAGCAAAATTAGTGCCAGAGAAAGGGGACAGCTCATGTTCAAATTAGCCGACCTAATGCAAGAGCACAAAGAAGAACTGGCAATAATTGAGAGCATAGATTCGGGGGCTGTTTACACGCTGGCCCTGAAGACGCACATAGGAATGAGTATCGAAACGTGGAGGTACTTTGCCGGTTGGACGGATAAAATTCAAGGATCGACCATACCAATTTCTCATGCCAGGCCGAACAGAAATCTTAGTTTTACCAAAAAAGAACCGATTGGGTAAGAGATTGTCCTAGATTATACAGGATGGTCCGAACTGTATTTCGGAAACTTCGGCAGCATATTCTGCAGATAAAAATAAGTAAAAATGTTCGTATAAATGTATGGCTTAAAATGCTTACTTTCAGAGATACAAGGGTGTAGAAGTTTCAGTTTTATTTCGATTTTTTCTAAATAATTTCTAAAGTAACGTCAATATTTGGATGAAAATTGGTGTCGGTAAGTTTGATTTTGGTGTCATGTGAAATTTGATTTTGGTGTTAATATGACTCCTACTAGTAGAGGGCGCCACCTACATGTGTTTTAACTATTTTGAAGCGTAATAACTTTTTGTCCGTACCTGTATAAAACTATCGAGCAAAAAATATACATTTCCATAACTTTTTACGTAAAAAATATCTCTTGGTAAAAATCGCTACGAGCAACCGTTCTCAAGATATTTAGAATCAAAATATCAAAATACATGTCATTATTGACAAAAAATAAACACGTTGAGAGAGTTACTTGACTGAAATAATAACTGTGGGAAATTTTTTTTTTTTTTTTAATTAATCACAAACTTTTCTGCGAAAAAATGATGATAAAACAGTTTCTGTTGAACTTTTGGTAGAAAAACATTTCCAATTTATGATTTCAGTCTAATATCTATTTAGTCGACATGTTTAATTTATGTGAATTATGATAGGTATTGATAATTTTTCGATTCCAAATATTTCGAGAACCATTACTCGTAGCGATTTTTACCAAGAGACATTTTTAACGTAAAAAACTTCACAAATAAGTAGTTTTATACAGGCACGGACGAAAAGTGATTACTCTTCAAATCATTTAATCAGTTAAAAAATATGTAGGTGGCGCCCTCTACAAGTAGGAGTCATATTGACATTAAAATCAAATTTCTCAAATAAAAAAACTCCCAGGCACCAATTTTCCTCCAAATATTGACGTTACTTCATAAATTATTTAGAAAAAATCGAAATAAAAATGAAACTTCTACATTCTGTATATCCGAAACTAAGCATTTTAGGACATACATTTATACGAACTTTTTTACTTATTTTTATCTGCAGAATATGCTGCCGAAGTTTCCGGAATATAATTCGGACCACCCTGAGAGGAAGCTAATAAAACCGTGTTACAAAACATTGTTTTTAACACGGTTTTATCCGGGAACACTTCCAAAGAAATATAAAGCCAAATTTAGTATCCTTAGAAATGTTGAAAAAAAACAGTTATTATATTATTATAATTTAACAATTTAATAATTATATATCTTTCGCGATATGGGGTATAGCAGTATGCAAGAAAGGATATATTATGATCAAAGGATATAAGAATAAATATGTACTAACAAAAAAACTTTTTCTTATTAGGGTTTGCGGTTTGGTGACTCCGTGGAACTATCCTTTGATGATGTTATCGTGGAAAATGGCGGCGTGTTTAGCTGCTGGAAATACTGTAGTGATTAAACCAGCACAAGTATCACCCCTTACGGCTTTGAAATTTGCCGAATTAACAGTCAAGGCGGGATTCCCACCTGGTGTTGTCAACGTTGTTCCAGGCAGAGGTAACTAAAATAGTTTTTCTCATGTAACTTTCTCCTTCGACGAAATATAACGTATATTATCGAAAGAAAATGATATCAAGATAGCTTAGAAATGAACAAAGTAATGCAAAATGAGTTATTTTCTGTTTTTTAGGGTTCCGTACCCAAAGGGTAAAAACGGGAACCCTATTACTCAGACTTCGCTGTCCGTCCGTCTGTCACAAAGGTTGAACCGTTACAGCTAGACAGTTGAATTTTTTACAGATAATGTATCTATATTGCCGCTATAAGAACAAATACTAAAAACAGAAATAAATAAATGTTTATAAATAAAAAAAGTAATTTCGCTAAACATTATCTTTTAAGTAAAAATTTTACATAGAATCTTTCGAAGTCCTCGGTGGCCGCGTGGTTAAAGCGTTAGGACTTTACGCTGCTATGACGTTGGAGTCGTAGTAAGGCAGGTTCGAATCCTAGTCGAAGGCGACTTTTTTTAATCGTTTTTTTTTAATTTTTACATATTTATTTTTACATATTTATTATTGATTAATACAATTTTTAGTAATGTGTTTCTTCATGTTTTTTTAAATTACTTATACACGCATTCAAAATTTCAGCTAAATTGAAAAAAAAAGTTTATAAATAATATAGTGTCTAATATTCTATAGATAATGAATGGTACGAAACCCCTCGTGCGCGAGTCCGACTCGCACTTACCCAATTTTTTTTTCGATCATACATTTTTTTCGTATAATACAAAGCTAAATTTGACAAAGACACTTTGTCGAATTGCAACAACGTAAAATTTGTCTTAATCTATAGGTACATTTAATTGGAATACGAAACTACATTAACAAATTATATCATTTCAGGGAGTGAGGCTGGAAATGCTGTCGCAACACATCATCTGATAAGGAAGCTTGGGTTCACTGGTAGTACTGAAATTGGACAAGTCATAATGAAAAATTGTGCCGACTCGAATTTGAAAAAAGTTTCGCTTGAACTGGGGGGAAAATCACCTCTAGTTATATTCAACGACTGTGATTTAGATAAAGCTGTTCGTCTGGTAAGTTTAAAGGCCGATTCTCACCTAAGCGGCATCAAGCGAAGCATTCAAGCGGCATTAAGCGCTTCAAAATGACGTTTCCAACTGTTTGTGTTTAATCAAATGATACCGTCCTCACCTAAAGATAGGATGTTTTACTTTCCGACACTGGCGATGCGGATTGCGGGTTTGCGACAAACATTTTTTCTTACCATGCGACACTTCAGTTCAGCAAGTCGTTCGAAGCAGTGCAGTTTATTAAGATGAACGCTATTCGTCGTAATATTGCTGCGATTCTTTTGCTTTATGACGAAGAAGAAGAAAATTTAGCTCTACTACTTCATGCTCCTAAACCTTTTCAGAAACATTCTGACATATACTCCGAGATACTTTCCCAGGAGCGTTGGCTCGCGGCACGCGTGTCTAAATTCGCGCGTGATCGCCTGCTGACGACCAAGTGAGGATCACGAAGCGTCAAAAGCAAGCCACGCGACGACTTGAAGAGGTTACTTAAATTGTAAAAATTTGTGTTTGTAGTGTTTTGAAAAAGCATGGACAAGAAAAAATTGATCGACTGATAGTACTCGTTTGTATTATTGTAATATTGAGTACTTGTTTGTAATATTGCTGATGATGGGGATGTTGAATCATCTAACGTGTGCGAAATCATTGTCATCCACCTACGTATACACTCAAATACCAACGAAACTCTACTGCACAAAACACATACACAAGAAGAAGTGCGAGCGCCTTGCTAAATATTGGAAAGTGAAATTGACGTTTAAATTTGACACTGTTGACAAGTCTACTGCTACTAGCGCCCCCAATTTCGCTTGTAGGAACTACGGACTAAATTGTCACGCATGGCGGGAAGTTTAAAAAAATAAAAAAATTTTTCTTCATTTATTTTTAATTATGACATACACAAAAACACAAAAAATACACCATTTTTTAAAAATATGTTTAATATCAATATCAAATATACAACAGAAATTAATTTCACCACAATAAATTAATAAAATTAAAAGAATAATGTTACAAGTAGATCAAGAGACAAAATTAATTATAACAAAACTGAAAAAAATGGCGTCATAGATGGCTTAGAAATAAAAGATATATCATAATTTTGAAAGTAAAATTATATGGGAAATGTCTTCGATCATCATTTTTAAGCCAACTGGACGATTATTTCAAACATACAAGCTGAGTTCGTTCATAGTGCTCTGAGAAATCTAGATAAACAAAGAATAATAAATTAAAAGTATTCCAGGGGAAAAGAGAGGAAAAACCTGTATCGTCTCTGATATCTGTCAGGGTATTGTTGAAAGTGTCATCTTTTTGCTCGAAGTTTTCAGGTCGATCAAAAAGATGACATTTACAACAATACTTTGCTGTAACTTTCACAAATATCAGAGAGAGTACATACAGGTATTGCCTCTCTTTTCCTCTGGGATGCTTTATATCTGTTGTTCTTTGTTTATCTATATTTCTCAGAGCATAATGCCGAACACGACTACAGTATATAATAATTTCAATATCCGAAGTGGAAAGAAAAAAGATCACCTTTCTGTTTTGTACTATGGTCCCTTTCTTCCGATGGCTCATCTCGTTGATATTTAGGAAGGATAAATAGGAAGGAAAATATAAAATTCAATTTGATTTGATGGTCCTTTTCTGTGACCTAAAACCTAAAATCAGGAGAACGACAATGAGCATGTTAAGATGAAAAAAAAATTATCAGCATTTACCTACACGTTAGTCCGAGGAGTTTTATTAAAAACCTATATTTGCCTAAATAATTTATGTATTAAATTTGCAAAGCAAAATGCAGCGTGCAAACAAAAGAAATAAAATGGCGACAAGTCAACGTCAACGACCCGACAAGGAGAAAAGTGGTGTTCGAATAACAAATTATGGGCATTGCCTGGAAACTTATATGGTGAAATTTTGATAAAATAATTTAGTACTCACTAAAAACACGGTATGTCGCTAGTGGTAGCAAAAATAATTTTTAGAAGTTACTAGTTTATTTGGTTGCCTGTGATATATACATATGTGCCTGTGGTATATACAGGGTGTTTCCTAGTTAACCTAAAAAATAAAAAATCGTTAGAAAACGGCTTAAGCTCTTAATAAGTATATTTATTTTTTTCTCGGCAACCGTTTGATGAACAAGAAAAACTGAAAAGATCAATTTTGTTGAAAAAGGATGGCCACTATGGCCAGTCAAGAAAAAAATATATTTGCTTTAAAAAGCAGTAGGGTACCATTTATGTTAAGCAAAAAAATCGATTTTTAAATGTTTAACACCCTGTAGATCAGAAAGGAAGTACTTTAGACCTAATGGTTATATAAAAATTGTTTTAAGAACGCATGAGGAATCACACCATAATTTTTTTAGGCTAATTCGAAAACACCCTGTATATTGTCAACTTGACAATGACTGCTGATAAATCAACAAATACCTTTTCAGTGAAAAAAGCCTGATTTTCGCAGGAAAAATTTTGATTTTTATTGAATTTGAGCCTGCGTTTGCAAATACTCGTTTGTTTTTTAATTTTCTATTTATCTAAATTTTAAATATCATAGTCAGAAATAGTTTTATTATTTATTAACTGTAAAAATGGTGTTTTCTTGTTGTGTTGCATCTTGCAAAGAAACTAACAAAACTGCAAAAATGTACGTGTTTCCAAAAGACGATAAGGTATGTATCTTAGATAAAAGAAAATATATGGTATAGGTTTTTCGTTCGCTTTAAAATCTATAAATCTCGGTCTATTCATTAGACAGCCAGTCGACTTACGATCATTTACATGAAACTCTGTAAAATAAATAAAAAATAAATTGTAAAATATATATATATATATATATATATATATATATATATATATATATATATATATATATATATATATATATATATATATATATATATATATTATATATATATATATATATATATATATATATATATATATATATATATATATATATCTATATATATTATTATACTCTCTGATATACTAATATATCAGTGTAACTTTAAAAATAAATCCCAAATATAAACATAAAAAACATTTACAGCAGAAAAGGCGAAGGCGCTGGGTTAAACGTAGTCTCCATTAAAAACACGGAGGGGCGCTTTGACCCAAAATTTTACTATTAAGTTTCATATCTATCTTAATAGTAGATTATTTTCTTTTATCTATGATTATGGGTCACCAAAAATTGTTTTTGTCTCCTTTCAACGCACACTTTAGAAAGAAAAAGAGATGAACTGGAATACTGAAAGAACGTCAAGGTTTTATCTGTCACTCTTGTCAATAATTTATCGGTAAGGAAGATTCCTAGAAAATCGCTTGTAGTCAAGTTTTCAACCATTGCCAGTTCTCCCATAAGAAGTGTCATCCACCTGCTCTACTGTTTCGGTTCTGCTGCTGCCAAATGCCGCTTAGGTGTGAACAGGGGGGTGACAGTGAAATAGGAAAATTGGAAACAGTCATTAGTGTCATTCCTGTCATTCTCCTCACGACAAGTATGGCCGCCTAGACAAGGACAGCATTGTTTTTGTCTAACTATTGTCTAACTTCACAGTTTAGAATTGACAGATTTCAGTTTCAGAGACAACTTCAGATTTGTTCTAGAACAAATTCGAAAATATTCGACGCCATTTTAATTCATTCCGTTTAGTTTCGTTTTGGAAGTTCAATTTAATATTTCGGCTGAAATTTATAAATATAAAGGTAATAAAGTATATAAAATATAAATTACATGAAGAATCCTGGAGAAAATGACGTTTCTGCAGTAGTAGGTATGTCCCATGTATATCAAAAATAGGTAGTAAATAAACACTGTTTTTACATTTTTTAGATGCAAGAAAATGGTGTTATAATCTCTTTGATCGGCGATTTTTTTGAAAATGGAAACAATTTACAGCAAGGTAAGATCATTTTTAACTATAGCCAACATTAGTTATCTCCAGTATGTGCGATTTATTGTCAATAAAGCAATAAATCGGACTGATAATCTGATTATGTTATCCGACTAAAAGTCTCTTTTTGCATCTTTTTGATTTATAAGCCAGGTTCTTTGGGAATAATGGACGCTTTTTTTAAACAGTTTATTTATATTTTATACCTATTGATATTTTTACATTGTTAATTTTTGTATAAAAAAATTGTTTTTCTGTTTTCAGGTTTTTGTATAAGGCTCCCGTTTTCATGTTCCTGTGTCCGTTTTCTGTCCTTGAAGTTTGCGAATGCGTGTGTTTATTTACAAATTACTGTAAGTCATGCTTATACCTTAACTAATTTACGTTAAAAGTGCATATAATTAACTAATTGGTATTGAAACAATACAATCCTCTATATTTTTATATTTATTTAGTCACGTTGTTCCATATTTCAAATAAATATATGTGAATAAATTATTTTTGGTTTTATTTATGAAAAGTAAAAATACAAAATACATTTGAACTGAAAGAGGACCCGCCATTGAATAACCGGAAACGGAAATGAAAATTAAGCTGACAGCAGTGACCTCCTAATTTGTTGCGGGCCTCCAACATTCGGCATCAGCCAGCCGTGATAGGCTAACTCAACTACTTTTTGTCTGAGTGGAAAGCCTTCTTAAAAGTCTTTAAAGTCTATGGCTAGTGAAATTTCGTATTCTTTTCTTCGGCTGATAGTTTCCTCCCGTATATACGAGGCAATATACTATACTGCGTTTTGGTATAACTAGTTTTGAAAAGGGTTCACTATTATAAAATATTTAAAATAAGAAACGAATTAATGGTTGTTTATAGTGTTGATATCAATGGCGGCTCGTGGTTATTATTGTAGGGAGGTCTATATCTAAAAATATTGCGTCGATCTTTTTAAGACACGACCAAATTTAATTGGTTTCTTACAAGGTAATTGTACGTTTAGTTAAAGGAAAATAAATCTAAAAATAAATACAAATTATGTTAAAATGAAACCTACCCTTACATTTTTAAACAGGTGGTCTAGTGCCATTTCACTAAAAATCCAGTCAATGTTCTTTACACAAATTTTCCACGGTAGGATTTAAAAGACACTTAAATAATAATGTCACAAAAATATATACACATGCACATTTCTAAAAGTTTTACTTTACATTTTTTTATATTTTATAAGTGAATTATTTCTCTAAACCTTTTTCGAAATGTAAGCAATTGTTTTCTTTTAATCGCAAGATTTTACAAACTAAACACCATATGTTGTCTATTTAAAAATATCTATTTCAAAATCAATCAACAAGAGTTCATAATTTATCCAGAACCAGAAAATTATGAATTATTACCTACACAAATTTCGCGCTGCATTTCAAACCCTCGGCTACGACAAAGATACGGCAACTAAAACTAATTTTTTTTCTATATTAAAAATTTAAATATTGATTTATATTGACTAAACCAAATATTATACGCGATAAACGATACCAAAACCTAGGTTGTTTTATAATTTGAGTTTTTATAAACACCCAAACTGCCCAAACGGCGAAATTTTTCCAACGATATGACTGAAATCCTGTAATATTTATATAGAAATAATGCCACTCAATATTTCTTAATCTATTAATTTCTTACACAATATATCGAAACAAGGAAAAATAACGTGAAATGAACTATATTTAAAAGATTATATAACAAAATGGTATTGGTATAGATATCCCCTTATTACTTAATATTATTGTTTTACATTTCTTCCTTTTAATAAAAAAAACTTTTAATTTTAAATAAAAAAAACTTTAAGAAGTAAATCACACATCAATCTCGATAACGAATGAGAATTCAAAATAGTTGAGATGTAGGTAGATACACTGTTATAACTAGTATTTTGTAATATTTATAGGGCATGCAGTCAGTTTTCTTTAACAAAGGTGAAAATTGTATAGCAGCTGGTAGACTGTTTGTAGAAGAAGACGTATACAATGAGTTTATAAGAAGAGTCGTTGTAGAAACTAAGAAAATTGCTATTGGTGATCCACTTAATAAGTCTACAGCTCATGGACCTCAGAACCACTTAGCCCATCTTAATAAATTATTACAATATGTTCAAATAGGTGAGGGAGTCATTTATGCAGTATGTCCCCAAATTGTCTTAAAAGAGGAAAACCTTTTTTTGTGATTGACATTTTTAAAAAAAATTGCATTCTTTATAAAATTTTGCTTGTTCTAAAATGATTTATCCCGTTTATGTTTTTCCAAATTTCCATACCGTTTAAGAGAAACTTAAAGAAAATATGAAAATATGGTTGAATTTTTAAGTCAAGTAACTAAATGAAAGAACATGTGATTAACGTCATATTCTTTGCTGTCGTTAAAGCATCACATTTTCCGATAACTATTATGACCTAAATAAATGTTGTGCTTTTTTAACATTTTAAAACAGCAAGAAATATGACGTTATAATTAAAATTCTATTAACAATCTATCAAAGAAGGAAAATGAAATTATACTCATAGATAAAGGAATAGTTATTTTTTATACAAGGCGATAAAATGGTATTTTATCGTCGACCGAAAAGATTAATTCATGAGCGATTTCATCGCTCGTGAATTAATTTCGGGAGACGATAATGCAATTTTATCGTCGTGTATAAAACAATATTTTTTTCCATAGCGAGCTAAGTTTTAAAAAATATTCAGATATTATTATTTCAAGGAATTTATTCCGAGTAAAAAAAATATTGTGTTGGGTTAGCGTTGGTTTTTATGTAATTTGTCTCTTTTTTATGTATGTAATTTGTCTCTTTAGTTGTCAGTTTTGAGTCAATATTTTTTAATTCTTTCTAATTGAATTGGAGTCAGAAATGGCTCAAAACCAAAATAAGTAAATTACCAACAAATATTCAGGCTGAGGCCTTTTTGCGTTTTGTTTTAGTTTTTATTTTATTTTTTTTAGTATAAGTATCATTTAATCTACCCTTGCGGTTTAAGTACTATTTTATCTACTATATTAATTTGATAGATATAAGGCAATTTTAACAGTTGCTATGGAAAAAAAATATATTTTACTTGATTATTATTTAATAATTTATTATTACTACGGAAAAATTGAACTATATTTTCATGCTTTTTTAATTTTCTTTAAAACGGTATAGAAATTTGGAAAAGTATAAACGGAATTAATTATTTCAAAATAAAGCAAAATGTTTTTATGAAAAATGCATTTTTCTGAAAACCTCAATAATAAAAATATTTTTCCTCTTTTAAAGACAATCCGGGGACATACTGTATACTTAACAAAAATGTTTAATTCTTTAAACTAATTCGGAGTATAGTGATAAGAATAAAGCCGGGACCCCATTAGCCAATACCCGACGTGATACCACGCGATGCCACGCTATCCCACGTCAAGGCAAGTGTTGCGACGTGGAAATGGGTGTACCCATTAGGTAACACGTGTTAACACGCCTGAAATTTTTATTAGAGTTAAAAGAAGTTATCAGTAGCTAGGGTTACGAAAATACTAGAATTATCGATACCCATACCGATATTAGATTATAATCGTAATACCAGTACACCAATATATTCAGAATCGACTATCGATATCGATATTATTAAATCAATCTTTTGGGGATGAATCTTTTGTTGCCGATTTTTTCTGGATCTATCTTGTTATATCCGTTGTTGAATCGATTCAAAATATCGATTTATTTTATTTTTGGGGCATACCTACATCAACTACAAAAGTAGATAGCTGCGGGACTAGACAGGCAAGCGGGGAACAACACGCCGTAACACACGTCGGTGAGATCTGGGACTGACGAATCGACCATCACACATCACACGTATCATAGCGTGTTATAGCGTCAGATGGCGTCGCGTGTTGCCTAGTGTGTACGCAAAATACATTTAATTAAATAGAAAAACATACGCACAGATCTTCATGACGTGGGGTAGCATGGCATCACGTGGCATAGCGTGTTGGCTAATGGGGTCCGGGCTTAATCCTAACAATATGTTTTTTTTATTACAAAGGTATTAAAGAAGGTGCAAAATTAGAATATGGTGGCAAAAGAGTTAAAAGACTAGGATACTTCTTTGAACCAACGATATTTAGCGACGTTGAAGATCACATGTATATTGCTAAAGAGGAATCATTCGGTCCAATTATGGTTATTAGCAAATTTAATAATGGGTAAGTGATTTCGTATGTACAGGGTAGTCCAGTATTATCCAGCAGTATTCCGTACAAGCTCAATATCTGGTTTTCTATTGAGCGTGTCTCGAAATTGGCTCACTCCTATAACTTTTTCATTTTTTTTCAGATAAAAAAACGAGATTTGGTATGTTAGTATATGACATAAATTAGGATTGATTGATATATTTAATTGTTTTTAGTCGCTTCCTGTTTTGCCGGAAATGACTACAACTTTTGATTTTTAAATGGCACCTTCGGTATATTTTTACTTTATTCTATAGAAAATGACACTGTGAATACAATGACATATTATATGTTAACTTTTGACGGTTTCGCTTAAAAACAAATCGAATTTTAAATTTTATTCCAGAGTGCCATGTGGCTGTGTTAAAACACCAATTTTTAATCAAGGAGCCTTGGAAAAATATTTTTGATCGTTTAATGTTCTTCGTGTCTTGTCCCTGGCCGGTTAAAAGATGCCCATATCGTATTTTTAATCATATCTCAATTTTTTCAAATGGAACAAGAGTGGCTCATTAGCATACATATTTAGAAAAGGCATTTTTTACTAATAATTTGGTACCACACTCTTGGTATTTCGAGTCAAATTGTCGTTAAGAATCGCATTTAAACATCAAAAGTTGTAGTCATTTCCGATGAAACAGGAAGTGACCAAAACCAATTGAATACGTCAATCAATCCTAATTTATGTCATATATACTAACATAGGTGGTACTTAATCTCGTTTTTTATCTGAAGAAATAAAAAAGTTATAGGGGGTAAGCCACTTTTGTTCGTTCATTATAACAGTATTTTCGTTGATATGTCAGTTGCTTCAAAAATATTTTTCGATATTTTTTTTAATGGAAATAATTTTCGAAATGGAAACCATTTTTAAATTAAATTTTCTGCAAATTTAAAACTCAATAAATTATTCATGTTTTTAATAAGGATAATTAATATTTAAAAGGAAGATACTGTTTTCTTCCAATACTATAATACTTATAATAATACTAAAACAGTTTTTATTGCTGGGTATATACAGGGTGAGCCAAAGCTAGATATAATAATTTTGACCGTTATTTCAAATGGAACGCACTATATTTTATATCATAAACCAACACAACTTTTATCTATTTTCATGTTCTATTAAATTTCAAATCATTTCCCGTCATCGATCATCATTTCCAAACCAGTAATTGGACACTGCATTTAAAAGGATATAGAAATTTCAGGACATTGGACATTACTACTACTTAGAATTAGGATTATACAATAGGTCATATCAAATAAACTTTTAGTCACGTGATTAAGCTTGACCGGCACAGCGTTGTCCAATTTTACATATTTTCTTTTAATCAAAATATTTTAGGAAACAAAAATAAATTAATTATAAATATATAAACAGTTATTCTTTACATCAACAAAACTCACATCCTTAACAGCACTTAAGAGACATAAAGGGCCATTACTACCGCTTTTCTGTTTAAAATATTCTAATAAAGTTGCGATGAGTATTTTGCAATGACTATTAAGCTATCTTGTGCACTTCGCACTAAAAGAAGTTCTAAAAAGAACAATGTTCGACTGCAAGGTCTGCTAGTAAAAATGTTTATGCTTAAAGTATCATAATACAATTCATTTAATCTAAAAACTCGTAAATACAAATCTAAAGTGTCAAAACGAATGACCATGTCAGGAAATAAATAAATAAATGTGACAATTTCACATTTTTACACCAGATGAGATACCACCTGGATCCCATTGTCCATGGTTGGCAACAATGAATTTAAAAATCGCGCCCTCGATTACGTAACTAAAAGTTTAATTGGTATCGCTTGTATGTTATACAGAGTGTCTCAGAAATAAGTGCAAATATTTTAAGGGGTGGTAGATCTCGATAAAAGAAACATATTGTCTCTTTATCATTTTCCAAATAAGTCCAAAATTTTACTAATAAAATATAGTAAATTACAGTTGAGGGTTGGAACCTTTGGTGTTACACAGCAAAATAAAAACACTAAATCACCACAATACACCAAAACACTTTTACTTTAGCATCATCAGCAGATGATTATAAACTCAGAGCCAAGATTATAAGTCAGAGCCAACTGAGCGTAATAGTTAGTGTTACGCTCAGTTGGCTCTGACTCGGTTGGCTAGATTTTGCCACGCCCACTCGGTGCCCACTGAGCGAGTATATAAACGCTCAACTTGTAGATTGTACTTTAGTTTATAATCATCTGCTGATGATGCTAACATGGTTAGCGAAACGCGCGTCCAGTGTAAAAGTGTTTTGGTGTATTGTGGTGATAAAATATAGTAAAATAAAAATTTTACAGTAAAATGATAATTTTACTATAAAATATATTTTTTGCAATAATTTTGAGAACCACTGGATCTTTTCTAGATTGTCTTTCTTGTAAATTTAATCTACTACCTATGTTGCCATATTATCAGGAAATTATGTTTTTTAACTAAAAATTTTAAGAAATTCCAAAAATTTTTTCAAAAAAATCCGAATTTACAAAAAAAAATTCGCGAAAAAAAACTCATAAGCGTGTTTCTGCGGTTGAACTATACTCCCAGTTAAAATACTTGCACTTATATATGGGACACCCTGTATAATTGATATGAATTTTAATCAAATTTTAATTAAACTTTTTTTTTCTAGCGATATAGATGGTGTAATCAAAAGGTCCAATGCCACAGAGTATGGTTTAGCATCGGGCGTATTTACAAAGGACATTTCGAAAGCTTTAAAATTTGCGGAAAAAATAGACGCAGGAACGGTCTTTATCAACACGTACAATAAAACTGACGTAGCTGCACCTTTTGGTGGGTTTAAACAAAGCGGTTTCGGAAAAGATTTAGGGCAAGACGCTCTCAATGAATATTTGAAAACAAAATGTGTTACGGTGGAATACTAAAAACATAGTTTTTAAAACTTATATTTACAGCTTATTTATTCTTTTTTAATGACTAGAAAGTAAGCATTAAATTCCTTTAAATCCTATATAACTGCCCTTATTATAAATGCGTCATAAGTTATTATAACTATCCTCTGTATATAATATATTAAGTGTTATTTTTTATTAGTAGATACAACTAATTTGCAAAATTATTACATGTGTATATTGTAGTCAATAAGTACCTATAATATAATTTGTATATTAGTAAATAAATTTATTTGTATAATGAAAATATATAGTGTGTAATATAAGATTGGTGTTTTAGACCTTTTTTAATAGAATATGATCGACAAAACTAGTTTGAGGTATAAAACTAAACTGTCTTGCAAGCATAGACTTAAAATAAACTTGCAAGGCTTCATACAGGGTCCGGCACTAGTGCGTCGAGCATCTATAGCTCCTAGAATGAAACACTTGGGAATTTTGTTTAAGTGCAAACCTAAAGTATTGTTACAGATTCTGTGGGTCCACTAAATTATACTCACGATAAAATACTTAACGAATTTATTTTTCTTCGAAATTTACTATTTACACGCAATTTATACTAATTAAACACCAGTGGCGGTTCGTGACCCGTGTGACTGGGTAGGCGGCAAAATTTTGGTTGCGTCTGTTTGCCCCCCCCCCCTCCTAAATTTACATAATACCCTAGTTCGTAAATATATGTTGTCTCTGGGTTAAAAACATTTAGTTCTGTAATATATGTTGTATCGTCTTCTTACACCGCATAAAATAACGCGCTATTTTATTTCGGATTCTTTTATTTTTGTGGCGTGTTCTGAAATACAACCGGTTATATCATTTTTAATAACGTTTCCAATTTGTTTTAAACGCTTTTTGAATTTTCATATAAACGTTTTAAATGCTGCGTAATGAATCATATGAAATATCCCCTTAACGAAATGTGATATATCCCCTTATGAAATATCGGAAATATCCTCTTAACTTCTAAGCCTATAACAGAGCCTCCACGACTTCATGCGAAAGCGACCGGAGATTTCGCCTAAGCCCCGCCTTAATACGATACAACTCCGACTTACGTCGCGTCACTACCGCACGATGAGTTAGATAGAGACAGAAAACTGCCGTACGTCGTGCATCGACTCTGATAGTAGGCGATGTAGAAATCGCCGAACAAAGGCACTCCAACGGTCAAAATTATTTTGTTTTCTAACTCAGTGGCACAGTCAGCGGTCAGCGTACGCCAGCAGTAGTGAATATGTTAATATGCAAAACCACAAATATTAAAATAATATTGATTATTAAAACGCACTTCCGTGTATTAATAGTATTTTTATGTATTGGCGACATTTGAAGGACAAGCAATTTTCCCAACATCCTACTTTTTTTAGAGGCCATAATACATGTAATAATGTATCGTGATATAAAATATAACTGCAACCTGCACATTAAACGGGGAACTCCAGACTCCAGTTCAGCAGAACGCGTTGTTGCCAACCAAAATTTAATTAATAAAAAGAACACAAAATCAAAACAAAAGTGTAGCGTGTGCCTGTGGCCCTACTTTGAGCGTCATGTGAAAGTAATTTCTATTTTTTTAGTGACGTACTAAAAATGATTTAGTGAAGTAATAAGAAATAGGACTACCCTTAGCGCATAAACCGAAAACGCTATTTAGTCAAATATATAGACATCTATATCTCTGTATTTAGTACAATTTATATATGTTCCGGTCGAGGACGCCACATCCGAGTGGTCTCATCGACTTATTAGACCAGGAGATTTTACCGAGCATTAGTGTCGTCGATTTAGACGTCGCGTTGTCATGACTAATTTCCCAACTCAATTATGCATTGGGGGTGAGCATCCCCCCCATCACCCCCCATAGCTTCACCACTGCAGATGCCCGACGCACTATTGCCGCACCCTGTATAAAATTCGCTCAACAAAATAATTTTTTAAAATGCGTTAAAACATTAGTCAAAAAATTTGTTAAACACGAAATTAAAACATTTAAAAATCGGGACTATAATTAAATTACAATAAAACAAGTAGCAAACTAACGCAATGATTGCTTTAAATCAATAGTTGACAAGTTCACGTTTTATAATTAGTAGAAAAATACCGGGCTCGTCTCAAAAGTGGCTCACCCCCTATAACGTTTTTATTTTTTCAGATAAAACGATATTTCGTATGTTAGTATATGACATAAATTAAGATTGAACGACGTATTCAATTGTTTTCGGTCACTTCTTTCACCGGAAATGACTACAACTTTTGATTTTTAAATGGCACCCTCGGTATTTTTTTACTTTATTCGATAGAAAATGGCACTCTCAATCGAATGACATATCATATCAACTTTTGACATTTGTCAACTTTTGACATTTTGGCATATGGTTTATTTGAAATTGTAACATGCGGTTCATAACGACAATTTGACTCATAATACCAAGAGTGTGGTATAAAATTATTCGTAAAAAATGCGTTTTCCAAATATGCTAATGAGCCACCCTCGTTCCATTTGAAAAAATTGAGATATGATTAAAAATACGATTTGGGCATCTTTTAACCGGCCAGGACAAGACACTAAAAACATTAGACGAACAAATCTATTTTTCCAAGGCTTCTTGATTAAAAATTAGTGTTTTTAACACAGCAATGGCTGATTGAAATTTAAAATAGAATTTGTTTTTGAGTGACTATGTCAAAAATTGACATATGATATGTCATTCGATTCAGAGTGTCATTTTCTATCGAATAAAGTAAAAAAAATACCGAGGGTGGTATTTAAAAATCAAAAGTTGTAGTCATTTCCGGTGAAACCGGAAGTGACCGAAAACAATTGAATACGTCAATTAATACCAATTTATGTCATATACTAACATACCAAATCCCGTTGTTTTATCTGAAAAAATAAAAAGTTATAGGGGTGAGCCACTTTTGAGACGCACCCGGTATACACTAGCTAATAGCTGACGCCCGCGACGTTGTTCGCGATTTAATTTCCCACGTGTTACAATAATTAATAGCTGTTTATATTTTTTTATAATGTCTGTTAGCAATTGAAGGGCCCATGGAAAAAACTTGATAAGCGCCAATTTCTTAATTTTAAGATTTTAGAATATTATAATAAACTAACTGGTTCTTACAAAATGTATAAACTCTGCAGGGCAATATAGGCTTGGTGCATTCTCCGCCGGTGCTGCCACCGCCGGAGAATATCGTAAATAACAAATACATACAAATACACGGGTTTAAATGGCGAGTAAACGAAAAAATTAGTATATAATTATTCTAAAAGTGTTAGAAAGTATAATTTGTGGAAATTCTAAACAAAAAAATAAAAAGGTGAATATTTTGATATCTTCAGAAGGTCTAACTTGCATTATAATTTATTATTCCAGTTAAAAAAAATTCTTAGATTCTTTCAACTACGGTAGCGAGCATATAGTGTTATCACCGGTTTTGCTAGTGGGGCATAATTGGACCCATTTCGGCTATAACGAAATTTTTTAAAGGTACATAATTATAATTTTAGAAGATGTTTATAAAAGATTTAATCACTAGTTGATTAAAAAAGTATACCATTAATATTGCAAATTATATTTCATCCATTTCCATTCCATCCAATTGCTCTATTTAATTTTTTTGATTATGTAACGAGCACTTTGTTTACTCACTTGTTTCGTCGAACTGCTTGAATCCATTTTTGCTATTGATGAAATCGGTGTAAGAAATTATGAAGCTATAAAATGTTGTTGGGGCTAGGAAGCTATAAAATGTTGTAGCTTCGAAACAAAGCAGAATCGATCCTGTTGATATGAAAAATAAATCTTATTTTTACATAATATATCTCTCCACAAGAGATTGCATATGTTTTTTGAAACACCCTGTATAAAATAACATATTTATTGTCTTCTTTACATTAAATTTTACACGTGAATACAATTAGAAGAGCACTGATATACAGGGTGGTCCGAACTGTATTCCGGAAACTTCGGAAGCATATTCTGCAGATAAAAATAAGTAAAAAAGTTCGTATAAATGTATGTCCTAAAATGCTTAGTTTCAGAGATACAGGGTGTAGAAATTTCATTTTTATTTCGAATTTTTCTAAATAATTTCTGAAGTAACATCAATATTTGGATGAAAATTGGTGTCTGGGAGTTTTTTTTGAGAAATTTGATTTTGATGTCAAGATGACTCCTACTAGTAGAGAGGCGCCACCTACATATGTTTTGACTGTTTTGAAGCTTAATATCTTTTTGTCCGCACCTGTATAAAATTACCGAGCAAAAAAATATACATCTCTGTGACTTTTTACGTAAAAAATATCTCTTTGTAAAAATCGCTACGAGCAACCGTTCTCAAGATATTTAGAATGGAAATAGTCAATACATGTCATTATTGACGAAAAACGAACACGTTGAGTAGATTGTTATTTCACTGAAATAATAAATTTGGGAAATTTTTATTTTTTTCAATTAATTATAATTTTCTCTGCAAAAAATGACGATAAAACAGTTTCTGTTGAACTTTTAGCACAAAAACATTGAAAATTTATGATTTCAGTCTAATAACTATTTAGTCAACATGTTTAATTTACGTCAATGGTGACAGGTATTGATAATTTAGATTCCAAATATCTTGAAAACCATTACTCGTAGCGATTTTTACCAAGAGACCTTTTTCACGTGGAAATCGTCGTAAATGTATATTTTTTACTTAGTAGTTTTATACAAGTACGGACGAAGAGTTATTACTCTTCAAACCGGTTAAAGAATATGTAGGTGGCGCCCTCTACTAGTAGGAGTCATATTGACATCAAAATCAAATTTCTCATGTCAAAAAACTCCCAGACACCAATTTTCATCCAAATATTGACGTTACTTCAGAAATTATTTGGAAAAAATCGAAATAAAAATGAAACTTCTACACCCTGTATCTCCGAAACTAAGCATTTTAGGACATACATTTATACGAACTTTTTTACTTATTTTTATCTGCAGAATATGCCGCCGAAGTTTCCGGAATACAGTTCGGACCACCCTGTATATTATATAAACCGGAATATAATAAAAGTCCGTTATATTGGATCGCAATATTTTTATTAAGTTTTTATTAAAGTATGAACATATTACAGAGTACAACCCGACATAAATTATCAACGATTGTATTGATTGTATTGTATTATACGGTATAGAAATGTGTAGGAAAACTTAGGATCAAAACAAGAAATT